TTTTTTTTTTTTTTTGGTTATTTTTTCTAGGTCAGAGGTTCTGTCTTCAACATGCAAGATTCAATCTTCTGTATGGACTAATCTGCTTTTAATATTTTCAAGGAAAAGTGGATTTTATATAAAAACCAGTGATAATCAGCTCAGTGGTTGGACTGAGAAGCTTCAAAGCACTTCCCAGAGCCGAATGTACACCGAAAAGGTCATGACCACCGAGTGGTGGTCCACTGCCAGTCTGATTCACTATAGCTTTCTGAATCCTGGAGACACCATTACATCTGAGAAGTACATTCAGCAAATTGGTGAGATGCACTGAAAACTGCAGTGCCTACAGCCAGCATCAGTCAATTAAAAGGGCCCAATTCTTCCCCATGACAACACTCAACTGCACATCACAGAACCAACACTTCAAAAGTTGAACAAAATGCGCTACGAAGTTTTGCCTCGTCCACCATATTCACCTGACCTCAGGCCAACTAACCACCACTTCTTCAAGCATCTTGACAATTTTTTACAGGGAAAATGCTTCCACAACCAGCAGGATACAGAAAATGCTTTCCAAGAGTGTGTCAATCCCAAAGCACAGATTTTTACAACTACAGGAGTAAACAAACTTATTTCCCATTGGCAAAAATGCATTGATTCTAATAATTCTTATTTTGATTAATAAAGATGTAATAATAAAAATATTATTATTTATTTAACTTTATTTGCTATTAGTGTTTTTTCTTTCATTTATTTATTTTTACATTTTTCCACAGTTACTTTACATAGCAAAACATTTTAGCTCATACTCCATAATTCTTGACAGTTTATAAACAACTTTCAAAATTTCAAAATACTGAATTTTAAAGGTAATGTTTGCTATTAGTGTTTAATTTGACCAGAGAGAGAGGGAAAGTGAGAAAGCAAGCCTCCAGTTCCAGGACTCAAGCTGTGTTAGGCCACGTAGAAGTCCAGTGCCTTAACCACCACACCATCTGCCAGCCCCAGTGCACAAATATTAACAGCACCGGTGCCTAGGAGGCTGAAAGCCACATGAGAGACCCAGTTCGGGTTCCCAGGTCAACCTGAACATGCCAGGCACGATTGTGTGCCTATAATCCCAGTTGACTGGAAGGATCACGACATAGTGAGACCCAATCAAAAATACTAGTCTCTGTCTCTTATAAAGAGGGAGGGAGAGACAGGACCTGCTGCAGCTGTCAGGGAGTATCTACAGTCTAGTGATTTAGCAAGTCCCCTGGGAGTCACGGGAGCACCCTCTTGGGGCCCTACCTCTATCCCCTATGCTGCTGGCACTTAGAGTTCCCTCTACCCACAATGGGCTGCACTGTGGCTGCCACCAGGCTCCAGCCAGCCCCGCTGGGTACTCGCACCTCCCTGGCTGAGCTGCAGCTGCACCAGGAGAGCTGAGTCATGGAAAAAGTTAGCTCTTCAGACTGCAGCTCACCTCTTCCATCAAGCCCACAAAGGCTTCTTTCAGTTTGGGGGGTGGAAGGAGGTTGTGGGGCCCTCCTCCCAAGCCTGGGATGTGAAATTTCAAACTTTACCCTGGAGTTAAGTTTCCCAACTCCTGCCCAAGGAAACAAGGGAGGAGGGAATACCAGCAGTGAAGGTTAAGGGACACATGGGAAGGGAAAAGGGAGGACGTCTCTCTGAAGCCAGGCCACAGGGCCCCTTGGGGCTGACCTGCTAAACTGTGCACCCCTGGTCCAGGGGCTCCTCACTGCCATCTACCCAAGAACTGGCAGGGGAGGATAAGAGAAGGCAACAACTCTTCTCTGGGAAGCTGATGCGGGGAGGCTCACAAAACCCACATCCCAAAGATCTGCCAGTAGAAAAAAGGCCACAGTCCATCTCCAGCCAAGCTGTGAAACTGCCAGCTCCTTTTGGGATTGCCTGACATGTTTCTTTTTTCTCTCATTTCTTCTCAAGTCTGATGGGGAACACCCTGTGTGGCCTTGGGGAAGTTGCATAGATACTGAACCTTTGTTTCCTCCTGCGTTCAAAGGGCACAGTGACAGCCACCTCTTCAGGCTGTTAAGGAAACGGAATGAGAGTATAGGTGAAGGCCAGGTACACTGAATATCCTTCCCCTTCATCCCTACGCTCCATCACAAACATGCATCCAAGGGAAATGGTCTGGCTGGACCCTGTGGTCAGCCACCTGGTCTGGATCTAAATAGGAGGGGTAGCTGGTTGGGGTTAACATGCTTCTCTCTTTATGAGTTGCTATCTCTGTGCTCAGTCTCTTCTGCCATAAGACAGCAAGGAGAGGGGGGCTATGATATTGCAAGCCCTTTTAGGCTTGGAGTGTTAACCTTAGGTAGGGAGAAAGGCCTGGAGAAAAAGTGTAGCTGCTTGTCAGGACTGTAGGAAGCTGGAGGCTGGACAGCTTGGAGCAGTGTCCCCTCTTGGCCACTAGGCGGCTTCGAGGATAACAGATGAGCAGAGACTGAGCATGTACCCTGTTCTGTCTTCAGACTTTCCCAGTTTTCTCATTCACAGGCCTGGCTGAACCCAACCACTGCTGGGTGGGAAGGGCCTGTTTTTCCCAGGCTGGAATTTCTTATTTGGGAAGAGACAGTCACTATGCTGGAGTCCTGCCTTCAGCTTCCCTAGGAGTCAGACGAAGGCAGTGGCCAATTCTTCAACCATCATGCTTTGGAGTTGTGGGGGTAGAGGGGTTGGAGGCTGGAGGGAGTAGCCACAATGGAGTCTTTGGCTGAGTCTCGCCCTCCACCTCTCCACTCCCCTCTTGCCAGAGTGGAGTGGGATATGAAGAGGAGCCAGGTCTGGATTCAGATCCCTCCCTCCTGCACTTCTAGGCTTGCTAACTTTCAAAATGGGATAACAATAGCCCCACTGTGAGGTCAGTGGAAGGATCAATGTCAGAATATAGGCCTCCATGTAGGATAGTTTCTCAACCATCCCGGCTTTGCCCAACCCTTTGCTCCCTTAGGCTCTTCAGTGGTAATGCAGACTTGTGAGTTTCCCAGGTCACCTAGAAGGTACATTCTCCAAGCCCTCCCCCAGGCATCCCCACAACTATAAGGTCTTTGCAGGTGAGAGAGAAATCCCCAGCCATGCCTCCTCCAGAATCAGTATTTCTCAAAGTGACTTTCTCACCCAGGCAGAGCTTTAAAAATACCAATTCCAGCACCAGCCCTGCTGAATCAGAATCTCTGGGGGTGAGGCCCAGAGTTCCCCGTCTGAACAAGTCCCACGCTGGAAACGGCTGCCCCAGATTACAGGGCAGCTCCTTGGCTCACTCTCCTCCAGTCCGGGGATGTTCAGGGGGCGGGAGGCAAGTCCCATCAGCACTTCTAACTGGAGCTGCTTTTCAGTGACTCACCTCCCAGACTTCCTGCAGCAGACAGCTCTGAAAAGCTGGTCCCACCCTTCTACAGGGGAGACATTCTCGTTGGGGAGGGCAGGAGGTCACAAGGTGGGTGCTCCTCCAGGGAAGCCCAGAGGCCGAAGGACTTGAGACGCTTGCCTGCACGGGGCACAGGTTTAGGACGTTTTGTTTACAGGCTTTTGTTATTAAGGAAATTGCTGTCAGTCAAGGTAATTCTAGCCCAGATGAGCAATAAATATGCTCCCAGCTAATCTTACAGGGATTTTATTGGCACCTGGGGCAGAGGTTCCTTTACTCTGCCCACCTCCTTCCCCTCAAAGCACAACCCTGCTCCCAGTGGCTCTCCCCAGCAACTTGAGCGACATGGATCAGACTTAGAAAGAACATTTTAAGATAGAAGATGTCCGGCAAAAGTGGGAAGTGGCTTCCTGATTCTACCTGGAGGCAGGGGAGGACCAAATGACCCTAAATAAAACCCCTGGAGACCAGGTTGGCCCAAGGTATGCAGAGGCTCCCCTGGGCTCGTCCCGCCTATTAAGGGTGGATCACCTGGCGAGCGGGCGCCCCAGTTCTGGGAGACCGCGGCCCAGGCAGGGAGGAATGTCTTGGAGAAGGATCCAGCTCGCGGGAGTTGGTTCCAGGGTGTTCGAGTTACAGCTGCGAGCCCTCAGGGGCACAAGCGGCAAGTCCCGGCTTGCCGAAAGGAGAGCCAGTCCCGGAGAGCGAGTCGCAGCGAGCCCGTGTGCGCGCCCAGGCGCGCGCCCCGCGACGGCGCAGGGGGGAGGGGAGGCCGCAACAGCCATTCAGAGGAACGGTAGTGAAGCCTCCCAACAACTTTAACTGTCAATCAGACTTAATGGGGTATTAAAAAAAATGGGGGGGGGGAGAGCCGCCCTCTCGCTCCGCACGGTGGCTGCCCCCGAAGCGAATGAATAAGTCCGGGCAGACCAGGGCGTCCGATCCACGCGCGCTCTGCACCCAGGCCCTCTCCAAGTTGGAAAGGACAAAAAGAAGGCAATAAATACTAAAAGGAGAGAGAGAGAGAGCCGGATCGAGCGGCAACTCCCAGCCTTTGCTGGAAGAAAGAGAGAGGGAGGGAGCCGGAGAGAGCGAGCGCGCGCGAGGGCGAGCCCAGCACGTAAAGAAACTGACACCCGGACCCCCCACTTCTCCTGCACGTTGCTGGCAATCAGATCGCGTTTAAGCAATTTCCTGAGCCCAAGAATAGCAATGAGTCGGGAGACTTTCGCAGGCTGAAATTGGGAGCTCCAAGCACTTTTACCCCCCCTTTTTTTTTTTTTTTCAGGAGAAGGGGTGCGTGGGGGGGGGGCTCTACAATTTGGAAGCGATTTTTTTTTATCTTGCACTTTGAAACTGGGACTGTAGCAGGGTGCGCGTGTGGTTAGTGCCTTTTTTTTTTTTTTTCCTTCCCTTGCCTAAACTCCTCTGTCAGTCTGTAAACATTACCTGAGAATTCCCCAGCCGAAACGGCTGCTGGGGCAAGAAACTTCTTGTTAGAACTTCCACCTCCTGCCTCCCCTCCACCCTTTACCGTCCCGACCTCCGAAGCGCTTTTTCTCCGGAGGATTTGTCTGTGTGTGTTTTTCCCCCTTTTTCTCACCCTGTGCTTTGCATTTGGGAAGAGGTGATTTCAAGAGTCGCCAGGTGGGACGCCTCTCTCCTTCTTATTCGGTTTATTTATTATTGTTTTGGGTTTTTTTATTATTATTATTCTTGTTTTGTTCAGTCCGGGGAGTTTCGCCCCCTGCCCGGCTCCGCGGCGCGGAGGATGGTGTGGAAATGGCTGGGCGCGTTGGTGGTGTTCCCTCTACAGATGATCTATCTGGTGGCAAAAGCAGCCGTCGGACTGGTGCTGCCCGCCAAGCTGCGGGACCTGTCGCGGGAGAACGTCCTCATCACCGGCGGCGGGAGAGGCATCGGGCGCCAGCTAGCTCGCGAGTTCGCAGAGCGCGGCGCCAGAAAGGTACCGGGCACTGCGCCTCCAGGGGGTGGGTGCTGAAGGCGGGAAGGACCACTGGGCGGGGTGCGCCCACCTGCTGCTGTTGCAGGATTCAGCTCCCGGGAGCCCATAGTCTCCGGCTACCCCATTCCCCAGCGCCACACTGAGTGCTGATCTAGTCGGTTTCACCTTGTAAATTTCCCGGGCACAGGACTGTCTTTTTTGGCAGGTCCGGAGCCGATCCGCTCCTTCGGGATCCGTGGCTGGCTGAATATTCTTCCCCACCCCGAAACTTAGGAGACCCACCCGTTTCCCACAGTCCTCCCTCCCAAAGGAAGATCTTGTGCCCCCCCACCCCCACCTCGCCTTCTTGCCCTTTTTTACCGCCACCCTGAGTGAGTGCAGGGTGTGTGCGCCCCTTGGTAGAGCTGGGAGCTGCCTGCCAGCTGGTGGCTGGCGCTTCTTATTTTCCTTGGCAACCCGCTTCCCAGCCCCAACGTGGACAGCTGCAGGTCTGAGGACCCGAGGAGAGGGGGGCCTTTGGCCTGGGTTTGAAAAGAGGTCTAACCTGGCAAACAAGCACTCTGGCAGCCTAGGTGTTTGGAGGGCAGAAAGGAGAACAGGGGTAACCTGCAGTCCATAAAGGGCCCTTGCCATCACCTTCAACACTCTCTCCTTCCTCTCCGAATATAGCCCCCGAGGAGATCGGTCCCCATGAAAGTTGGGAGGTGGCTCTGTGTGGAGGGTCCTACCCACCAGGCACTGCCTGTAACTTCTTGGTGGTGCCAGCATCTCTTGCTCCAGGTTTTGGAAACCTGGTGCTGGGAGAGTGGAGAGACTGAGCCAGCTGTCACCCAGCTCCCAACTCTGGCCAGGCTGACTCACCCGGTGACAACAGCAATCCAGAGAGGGATTTGAGGCCAGCAGGCCAGGCTGTCTCCAGCCGGCCCTGTGAAGAGGAAGAGTGAAAACAGGGAATTAGCTTGAAACTTAAACTGTTGTGAACGAGGGGGGTGAAAGGGCCGGCAAAGCCAGCTGATCTGACATGGAGCCACATACCTTGGGGATTAAGTAAATATGTACTGTAGAAAACCAAACCTGCATGTAATTCCAGGTTGCTTTTGTTTTGTTAAATACTGCCCTGAGATTTACAATTCCTCTGGGGTGGCTCTGAGGGGACTGAACTTTGGAGCCAAACTATCAGCCCAAACTGATTGCCCATTAACTCTTCCCTAGCTGGTATGGCTGGGCTGTTGCACCAGCTGAGCTTGGGGGGGGGTGGGGTGTCAGCCCTCCAGGACGCCCACTTCTCCTTGGGTGGTTTGGACAGCTGTTTGCCCTTGCCCTCGGAAGGGGAGTTCGGAAGTGTTTTTAACCCTTAGACACACCGAATAAGGGGAAGTAAGAGTTGTTCTCAGCAGTTTCCTTTCCTTGCAGTGATGCCTCATTAGAAGGCTCTTAAAGCCCTTTGTGGAGCGGGATCAGTTGGACACATGAGGGTGTCCTTGGGGAAGAGATGTGAGATTTGGGACAATTGCGTGCGATTGTCATTCCTCAGCTGTCTGCATCCCACAGAGGCTTTCTTCGGAATCTTCCAGCTGGCCCAAGTCCTGGGTCTCTTTTCCTGCTCTTGTAACTGACTGCAGTAGGCACATGAGGAACTCTTAGTCAATCTGGAAAAACTTGACTGACTATAAACAATCCCAAATTGAAAGAAATGCATGGCACTGGGGGGTGTGTATAATAGCACGGAGTGGAGCCAGCAAGTTCATGCCCTGGGAACCACAGCCCCACCAATTTGGAATGGGCTTCTTCTTCCAGGGAAGAAACCCAAGGCCAGTTAGAAAAATGTCTTAAATTGGTGTCAGTCACCAAAGAGGGGACCCACAGGGGCCTGTGAAACTGCGTGGGGTTCAGTCACTGGGCCAGTCCAGATGACCAAGGGTGCTCCCTGTAATTCATAATTATCTGACCAATTACTGCAGCTACTTTTTAATGAGCCTTCTGCCTGCTGCCACGGTGGTGAATTTGAAATCTTGAAGCTCCTGGTCTGAGTCTATCTGGGCCCAGTAGAGGACTTTGAGACAACTCACAGAGCCAAGAGTGTTTGGGGCCCAGGGGACTTGGGGACAAAGGGCCAAGTGTTACAGGGGTGGGGAATTTACAGGAGCTGAGTGGTTAGGAACAGGGTGTGTAGAGTGGACTTGGGGCAGGGGCGGGGGAAGGGGGTGTCCAGGAGCGTCTAAGAGATCTGGGAGGGTTAGGAAGGACCTGGCCACCCGCAGCCTGCGGCATTAGGCAGGCGGCAGTGTGGGACCGTGGCTGACTCCCCTTCTCCCTTGGTAGAAGCTGAGGCTGCATCAGAGCTCTGTCTGGATCCTGGTGGGATTAGATCTGGAGGGGAAGGGCCCCAAAAGAGAAAGGAATGGCATCAGTGTGTCTGCAAACAGCTGACTGTCCAGAAGATTTTCTTTTATTTTTAGGGGGCAGGGAAAGGGAGGTGACAACCCAGTTTCCCATAATGACCTTGAGTTAAATAGGATTTGGCAGTTTGTGTGGGTGGTAGAAAGCCTTTAGCTGCAAAGGTGACCCAAATGACAGTTTATCTTAAAGGGACACAAGGACTCCAAGAGTTTAGAATTTCCTAATCAGGAGACCACCCTCTTTACCCACAATGTACTGAGGTTGAGGCAAGGCCAGTCAAGGTTGGGGTTTCCGGGGCTAAGACCCTTGCTGAGATATTCCCTACTACGTTCTTTTTTTGGTTTCTATACCCTCTTGGAATGTTCCCCATGAAATCGGTCATGAAGCTTAGGCCCATTTCCCCTCCCCACAAAGGCTCCTGGCTACATACTCAGCTGGCCCCATCTCTGGTCTTTGAGTTTGATGTGGTGTGAGAAAGAGCCCGAGAGGGGAAGTTGACAGTTGCCAAGTATTTGCAGTGGCTGTTCCAGCCTTTAGTACAGTATTGGGCAAGGAACTAGACTAGAACCCGAGACCATGCTGCAGGCAGGCCTCTAGGGACAGTGGCAGAAGTAATGCAACTGGACCCACATGAGAAGGTCCTTGGTTCATATCCTGAGACCTCCCTGTGCACACTGAGTGTGTGAGCCTGCCCATGATCTAGCTAAAGTGGATCATGGCTTAAAGACCCTTTGAGAGTGCAGGCCCTCTCTCCTGTCTCTTTCTCTCATGGAAGAAATAAACCAATTACATTTAAACGTTTAAATGAATTAAGACAACAACAATTGACCTGGGAGAGAGAAGTGGCCCATCCTCACACTGGATGAGTCTGGTTCAGGAAGATAAGCTACCTGTCCTGTATGTGGTATCTAGAAGTCTTTCGGCTTGGTGCGTCTGGTCCCTGGGCTCGAACAATGGGCCCTATAATTCAGGCTGCCTCATGAATAGACAAGTACCTCTGTCTGACTTCCCTTGGGGAACAAAGTGTCCACAGCTGGAAATATGTGCCCCACAGCTTCATTTTCCAAAACAGGAGGTCAGCAACTGGGTTCATATCGCTGGAAAAGTCACCACCTGCTCCGGGTCACAGCCAGGAAGCATACCTATACAATGAGAGGGGAAAAAATGATCCCTCAGGTCCTGCCATGCTCTCAAGTTCTCCTACTGTGCCAGTCACCACAGGAAAGCAATGGATTACCAAGTTCCCTGAGTTGGGCACAGGAGAGGTGGGTGGAAAACAAACATTTGTCCTCATTACTGATTAGCTCGGCCTTCCTTGCTGGTCATCAGATCCCAGCGAATAAAAATGTTAGTTTTCCCCTATAATTTTCAGGGGATTGAGGGACTTCAGTTCCCTAACTAGCACATCAAGTAAAATTTCTTGTTTTTTATTTGTTTGTTTGATCTTAAAATCACCAAATTTTCTATTTGGGCTTTTGAGAATCCTTCCTAGATCTAGTAATACTGAAAACTAAGTGTACAAGTCCCATGTTGGGTCTGCTTAGCTCTTCTGCGTCTTCATCGTCATCTTTCACATTAGTTAGTTATGAATCACCATGAGAGAGAGACAGGCAGGCAGTCCCCCAGCAGGGTCCTCATATGCCATCCCAAGTCTCAACCAGCTGGGAGCAGGAACAAGAGTATTGAGGACAGTCATGAGATGCAAACCCAGGACCTTCTCGTGTGGGTTCACTTGCATTACCCCTGCACCACTGCCTGCCTCACCTCCTGGTGACTGTTGTTTGGACTTCAAGCTCTTCTGAACTTTCATTGTTTTGGACCCAAGTGCATTTGTTTACGACTGCGCAGGGCCCTTCTGACCTCGCTATCATTATGCTTAGCTATTTCCATCCTATGATCTGCGAGGCCCTCCACCTGAAGAAGATGCTCTCAGCTGTATTTATGAGGAAGCATTCGTTCTACCCAGGAAAGGGGTCTGGTTGTCACAGTCACTGCCACCATCATCAAAACCCTCCAGAGGTTTGAGTAGCAGTGCAGGGAGGTTCCAGACCCAACATTCTCGCTTATCCTTGGACAAAAGCCTAACCACACCTAGAATGTCAGTTGTTGCCTTCAGGAGACACAATCTAAAAATACAGCAAGTCTATAATATCTGTGAAAGGAAACATTTTGGGCATATTTTTAGATGAACCATGGAGATCAGACAACAGTTGAAGCCAGATGAAAATGAGAGAAACAAATCTACTGAGACACTAGCATGCTCAAATGTGTGGTCATTTGTGGATACTCCTTAAAATGAGTGCGATATTAGAGTTCTGAACACGGGTGTGTGCCAAGATTCTCAGCCAGAATGCCAAAATATCAGGACAAGCAAGTAAACGAAGGATTGGTGAGAACTCACTCATTCATTTGCTTATTCACGTCCACAAATTTACTGAGCACCTATGTGCCAGGCACTGTCCTAGGCACAGGGGAGACTGCAAGGATCAAAGCAGACACAGATCATCACCCAATCACCACCCCTATAGAGCTGACACTTTAGTGAGGAATGTAGACATACTAAATAAGATGAATAAAACAGTGTGTCAGATCGTAGTAGG